ATCTCGCATTATTAGATCTAAGGTCTAGACCCAGACACATGTTGATAGTTTTCATGAAATTTCATGGTATGTATGTTGTTACAGGGTGGTTAACTTCGCCAGCGGCCCCCTTTCCCGGGGCAGTCCCTGCTCTCCCCTGCTAGAGGGGCACCCTAATCCGTCACCCCATCCGACTTCAGAATGTATTCGTTGGGTTCGGCAACTCACCACCAGCATCCAACCAAATCTAGCGGATCAACGGCGCATCAACTTAGTTCCTGGTCAGCTCGCAAGTTGATATTATCACGTCCTACACCGTCCATAAGATGGGGGGCCACCTCCCATTTCATCACTCCTCAAACACCCGAGGAGCCGGCAGGCGGATTTGAACCCGGGTCGACTGGGTCAACTGGGAGCAGAAGTCAGGCCTTAACCTCTGCCAGCCGCCTGCCTAATGTTCACTGTTTCACAATCACTGTGATATATTACCTATCCGGGAACTATAAGAGCTCCATCAGGCATTCATTACAGAATGTTTTCATGGTTGATGCATTCTTAATGCATACTTATATGACATACTTACATAAAACCGCTTAATACCAGTGTAAGAATGTTTAAGAATGCACACCCGCCTCCTCCATGTTCTTCCGTCGTTCTTATCGTTCTTAAGCATTCTCCTAAGTTTCTTAACCCCCCTCCGTGTTTGTAGGGTGTGGACACCCTTGCTGCCAGCTGTCCAGCACTTATAGCAGCCATGTTTTACTCGTGGCACCCCTGACATTCGCAGCATGTCCTCGATGGCCCGGTAATCCCCACCGGCCGTGAGAAGTCTAACCCTGACACTGATGTAGGACTCCGTGTGTGCATCGAAAGTATCCACCCCGCACTCTGCCAGGCTTTCCAGCTCCCTGGACAGGAGCTTCAACATGCACCCAACACGCGGCCTCTCCCCCTCGTCCTTCTTTCGTGAACCTGGCAGGATGCCAAGGACCGTTGTCGCACCATGGGTGTACCTGAACCCAAGTTGGACAGACAGGGTTGGCAATGCAATTGGATGGATGTAATGTAATGTAATGTTACAGAGTGGGAGGCTTCTGGGCCGCTTTATCACATTGTCAGTTCTATGATTTATCATCTTATAGCACCGTCCACCACTACCACACTATACTTCGCCATACGAACTGTAAGTCCAAGGCGGCGGGTCCAGCCGTCTAGGACCCCTCCTCATCCATTCACCCGAACAACCGAAGAGACGGAGGGTTCGGCAATCGCCACCAATCTAGCGTGCGAATCTGGTCCATCAACTGCGACCTCAACTCCACATCTCAGCAGCTAGCCATAATCTCGCGCTCCCGACTAATTCGGGGGTCTCCCCAGGAATCGAACCCAGGACCTTAAACCGCGAATCGCAGTAGTGTCAACCCAGACCAGACCAGATGGATGTGCATGGCCCTACTGGGGGATCCACTGATGACAGTGCCCCACCTTATGTCTGGGCTGAAATTGTATGCTGTGATGGCAACGGGGTACAGACTGTAACTAGCATCATCCTTGTATGTCTGGACTCCATCAGTGAAGACACCGAGGAGGATGTCCGTGTCACGCAGGGGAGGCTGTCCGCCTTGTTCAGATTCCTTCATGACGATGTAAGCCTTGCCGTCTGTGATGTCACAGATGAACCTGTCTGGCAACCCACGTTCGGCAGCAGATTTCACATGATGCCTGATTTCCTTGGACCACCACGGTCATCCTCAGGCGCCGGCGGTGGCAGCTGCACAGTAGCAGAGGCGCCCCCCTCCTGCAGGCCGCATTGCACGGAGTGATGCACAGGAGGCACGACGGGTTCACCAGGTTGGTCAACGGGCAGTGTCATGCGGTGCACCCGTTGTGTGCTCTGTGGTGCACCCTCCCTCACACGGACCGACCCCGCCCCGGAGGCTCCCCCACCTGCTGTCTTACCGTGCACGGAAACCGTGGGCTGGGCATGGCTGCTGGTCCTGCAGCTGACGGGGATGGCAAAGCAGCCGCCTCACCACCACGGGCATCCTCAGGCGCCGGCGGTGGCAGCTGCACAGTAGCAGAGGCGCCCCCCTCCTGCAGGCCGCATTGCACGGAGTGATGCACAGGAGGCACGATGGGTTCACCAGGTTGGTCAACGGGCAGTGGCATGCGGTGCACCCGTTGTGTGCTCTGTGGTGCACCCTCCCTCACACGGACCGACCCTGCCCCGGAGGCTCCCCCACCTGCTGTCTTACCGTGCACGGAAACCGTGGGCTGGGCATAGCAGCTCGTCCTGCAGCCGACGGGGATGGCACAGCAGCCGCCTCACCGCCACGGGTGTCCTCCTCCTGCAGGCCGCGTCACACAGAGTGATGCACAGGAGGCATGACAGGTTCGCCAGGTTGGTCGACGGGCAGTCATGGCAGCGGGAAGCAGACTTGCACCGAAGCCCTGGTGTACCGGAGTACTGAACACAACAAGCAAGTGCATCTGAGGATGCCCCCCTTCGTGCCATCCCCAGCCGACACACTCCACCCTGTCGTGCTGCTCCTGTGGAGTGTCATGTGGTGCACCCGTTGCATGCTCTGTGGTACACCGGTGTACCCTCAATTATATGGACCGACCCCGCCCCTCAGGCCTGCCCACCTGCTGTCCTGCCATGCATGGATACCGTGGAATGGCATCATCTGTATCATTGTGTCCCCTGTCCATCTCCCGTTGCTGCTCCTCATCATCCGCCACCAGCCGGGTCATGTTTGGGGCCCGCTTTCTCTTCCTGGTCTCGTTGCACACACCAAAGCCTCGATGAACCAGCTCCTCTGACTGCAGGAGCAGCGACAGGGGACGGACGGGGGTCAGGGAGACCGCACGACACTCAAGGTGCGACTCTGCTCCCCCCTGCCATGCATGAGCTTGGTCTTGATCTCACCCATAATCCTACCTGTTCGCCTGCTTCTGAAGGGGCCAGCCCATTGCTCTGGCCAGCACCAGAGACCTCTGTGCCATCCTCGGACACCCCATACTCGCCAGCATCACCAGTGCCGCCGTGCTTCACCGGGTCCACCATGGCAGCATCACCTCCCTGGGTGGATGGTGACAGGCAAGAAGACTGTGCGTGTGTGTGATGGGTGGGGGAAGGATGGAAGGCCGCGGGCCGGCGACAGGGCAGTGGTACATACCTCAGCTCCCCCGGAGGTCACCACCTCCTCACCAGCCTTCAAAGCTTCTTCATTCCCCTGTGACATACACAATCTGTTTGTAAAGGTGCCCATGCATATCGCTCCCCGCCCAGCCCTGGAGCTGGAAACCCACCGTTGTCCTGTCAGCCGTGCTGGCTGCCTGTGATGTGATGACACTGGCGGCACAGAGGTGAAGCGCAAAGCTTGAAGTGGCATGCTCAGACAAAGCCGTGCTGCGTGCAGGGACCCCTGGCATGGTACACAACCCGCTGCTGTGCTCAGGGAGGCTACGGATGTACCTCTTCAGGCTCTCCTCCTTGGCACCACTACCAAGCATTCCGACAAGCGTCCTCTCCACCTGTGAGGACGGAGACAATCTGTTTGCGCGCCGAACACTTCTCAGCAACAACCTGGCACAGTATTCACCTCATTGCCAGCCGAGAATCTCATTGATACGAGATCGTCTGGCTTGCTGCGCCTTGGCACTGTAGCAACCCACTCAATGCCATCGACAATAACTATGAAGGTTTCTCCGGTGCGGCACTATGAAGGTTTCACACGCAAAGTTAAACACTTCACGTTTAAGGTGTTGGCCTATTTGTCTCTTCTG